GCTTTCACCATAGCTTCTTCATTTCTGAGTTTTGAATTCTGACTCATCATTTTGTTTCTAAGATTTTTCTAGAAAGTGCATGAGTAGTATATTTCCCAAGTTCATTCATATTTGAAAGTGTCACATTAGACAGCTTTTTCCTGAAGGACAACTTGGCTTGTGACACAATTGTTGGGTTAACTCTTAGACATTTCTTAGACATTTCTTCACTATCTTCTGGCACTGGGTGATGCTCTAATAAAGCCAAAGACCAGCTTGCCTTTTTATTCTTTCATGTGGCTTGCTTGTTCACAGAACCATAGGATACCTTCTTCCATACTCTTACCCAATTAACAACTGAGTATGTACTATATACTGGATAGTGCTTTTAGGGTTGAGCATTGTTGGAAATGCCTTTCTGTGAATCATTCAATACCAAATTTTGTTGGGACACCATGTATCCATTTGAGCTTCAGATTTTTAAGTCTGTATTCTAGAAAGTTGTGTTTTGACTTAATTTTTGTTGATTTGTTCTTCATTCTCCAAAGGTCATTGTGAATATTAAATGAATTAATACACATAAATCTCCTCATGTGGGCATGTAATCGATATCTTGTAACCCAAAGAAGAGCTCTTCTTTCTTTTTTATAAAAGAGAATGGTTGCTTATCTATAATTTCTGTGAGATAATGGGAAACTCTCTGAACACTTTCCATGTTTGGGGAGGATACTACCTTTTGTGATGTGTTTTCTTCAGTCTCTCATTATGCCCTTTATCTGAGTTCTTGTCCAAGGTTGGTTCTTATCCTAATATAATCTGTCTTTATTTGTTGAAGCCAAATAGGATCCACCAAACTAGGGTACTCAGTACTTTGTTTTCTTGAACATTCAATCACCAGCTCTATTCTTTTGGTTGACTTGGGACTCTGTGTCCCTCCGTGTGTGTGGAACAGACTGATGTGACTCACAGAAAAGCCCCTTTACATGACAGGCTCCTTCAGTTCTAATCCAAACCTCTTCCCCCAAACACACACAAACCCCCCAGCTCACAGACACTGAGGAGAGCATGTCACCTTTGCCCCAGTAACTTCATGATCTCTATCTTGAATGGCATCCCTAGGGGGTTGCTTTCTCTCTTCCTGCGGCCTGCCCACATCCTTACAAGAGAAACCTGGTTTTTGCTCAAGATCTAAGGAGTCATCTTTACTCTCAAATTACCCCTGTGTCCATCTAGATTTCATAGAATGTGGACGATCAGCTAGATTTTTTGGTTGCAATGTTCTAAGTATAAAAATCTAATTAAGATTTGCCACACACTGTCTCTGTCCAAAAAATGAAACACAAAACAAACAGAGCAGTCTATAATGTGGATGTGGTGGCTTCAGGAACAGCTGGATCTAGGAATTTAAATATATCATCCTTGAGCTTGATCACTATCTCCATTCTTTGGTTCTGCTTGTTTACATTCCATTTCCCTCTCAGAGTCTCTCTCCAAAAGGCCGTGAAAATGGCAGTGTTGGCTTCAAGGCCATATCATCTTTACAAGTTTGTGAATCTGGAGAAAGACCACTTTCCTCTAAGGCCTCTGAGTGATTTATGTGTATTGATTCATTTAATATTCACAATAACCACTGGAGAACAGAAGAGATCAGGGAGGAATAAAAGCCCAGGGAGGAATACAGTGGGGTCTGGCTTGGATCGTGTGCCCATCTCCAAACCAACTGCCATAGCTGGGAGAAGCTGTAGCACTCTGATAGCCAGCCCTGGGTAACACAGCTACCCCTGGGAAGGGAGTTAGGGAAGGCCGTGTCTGTCCTCATCCAAACGTGGACAGAGCAGGATTTACTATACAATGTCAGAGGGCTTGCTCCCAGAGGGAAGCTTGCCAGGGCAGACAAAAATTTCAAGCCTGTACTGCATTGTAAAGTTTGCTCCCTGTTTTACAGTTTTATACCTTTTTTTTTTCTTTTTTGCTGACATTTATTTCTCTGTTTTTCATTCTTTGCTACTTTCATTGGGTTTCTGCAGAATGCTTTTGCTTTACCATATTTAACCTGAAGCCCACTTTATTTTTTATTCCAACAATACTAAGGGCATTTGGTAGTTTTAAAGAAGACTTTCAAGTCCTAGCAATCATTCCGCAATCTACAGTGAGGGCTAGGAGGGGATGGGAGTGGAGGAGCAATTATTTTCATTTAATAGACTAAAAATTGAGCCCCTAGAAGTGTTAGGAAACTGACACTAAACCATTCAGCTATCTCAAGAGGTTGAGAGGGAACCAAACCTAACTTCAGAGATCCTGGCTCCTAGAGAAGACTTCCAAACTCTCCACAACAACTGACTGCCTTTGGGCTCTTCCTATGGGTCACATTTCCAAATCATGACAGTTTGAACAGCATTTATACAGAAAGTCTGAAGAGGTACTTAAACAGATATATAAAGGAGCTCATCAGATCAGACCACAGGATGGACGGAGAAATGGATGGACGGAGGATGGAGATGTACACACATACTTTTTCTTAATGGCAGCTTTTTTATTTGCAATTCATATGGAAATACAAAGTAAGAGGTAATGGAGTATCGCTGTGGAGCAGGCCTTCCATGCCTTAAATGAATCCCTAAATGGTTACAAGGAAATTGTCATTAACTGGTGCATAGATTGAGGATGACAGTTCCATAAGTGTTTGAGTGTCTTCTCTTTTGGAAAGTTACATCACCTCCAATATCTTGTTTCCAGCAATACCTGGCTTTAGCAAATCCATTTTTCATCATAATGAGCATGAAGTCAAAATCCAGGTCATCCCGTGTGTCTAAATTATCCATATTGTAAATTAAGGGTGTACAGATCAGTGTAGTTTCACTGAAATAAACTGTTCCGCCCTCTCCTGAGTGAGAAAACCACTCACCACAAAGGACAAACAAGCCCAGAAGGACCCCATGCTGGGAGCAAGCATGTCCTCACTTGCTCTGTCCCCTCTGCACCATCTAGCTGTTCACGGTCCTTTTAACCCACTGTAATCTCCATTCCCTTCCCTCCTTTCTGCCAGCCCAGCTCACTGAAACGACTCTTCATTTCCCACTTTATTATGGTCTCAAGATGAAAAAATGTTAATTGAGGGTAGGGTTCGCTCATCAAAACTGGGAATACTCCGTTGCATAGCGAAGATCATTTCTTGGAATTATTCACTTAAATGTTTACAAGAAACAATTATCAAGTGTCCCAGACTGATTCATAAATGTAATTAATGAAAGAATTGCTAAGAGTTTCCATTTTCTGGTTTGTTTTAATCCTACTGTATAAACTTTTTTTTGTTGGCACCACTTCAACAAAATTCCACCCCAGGATGAAAGGAGGTAAAGATTCATAGAGCAGAAATGTTATTGGAAGTTGAACTTGCCAGGGTGTACTGCAAAGCCAGACACACTCATTATCCAACACAAGGGCTGTCCTCACAAAACAAAAAAAAAGAAAAACAATTAGCGTTGCTGCCAACGCCTCATAATTTTGGACAGTCAGGAAGAATTGCTTCCAGTTCCTAATGGATTTGTCCTTTGCTGTTTGTGGGATAAAATATGTAACTGAAAATGCCCTTGCTGTCCCAGACTGAGGAAGACATAATGAACTCTGGCTTGCCAGATTGTTCTGCAACATCTGAAGGTTTGCAAAAATAAATAAACAAATCAGACGGCTCTTGTCTGGTTTTTCTCGTCAGCTTTCATTACTGTAAGGATGGATGCAGCCAGATAAACGTTTCCTTTTTACTTCAGTACTGAAAGGAACACAAGTTCTCCCACTGCCTTTTATGTTGAAGCGCTGAGGTCCACAGCCTATTCTTATTCACCAACTGGAAAAGATTGGTCTGCAATGGCCAGTTTGATGTTTTGTGCTCCAACTCCCAGAGTCCCAATTTGAAGTTGTTCTCTTCCACTTAAGGAGACATTTCATTTTTCCCTTAATTTAAAAAAATGTTCTGAATGCAGAGCGACATCACGAGGACTACTAGGTTGCCTAATATAAATTCTGTGTGTGTGACACTCTTTAGGCTGTGTTAGCAGACAAGGTCAGCTCAGCTCAACTAACAAGCTGACAAGCAGCCACTTCGGGGAACAGTTTTCAGTCGTACAAGTGTGCGAGCCAAAGTCAGACCCAAAATCTAAAGTGAGAGCAACATACACTTGGTCTTAAAATGGCCCATGGAATTTTATCTTGTTAAGCAAATTTGCACTGGGCAATTGTCCATGATGACCCAATGGAAAGTCCTAGAAGAAAATATCTTTAATTGAGTGACCCTGCCCAACCCAAGACCTTCTGCCTATCTTAGCATCACTCTGCCTGGGACTGGGAAACAGCCTGCTCTCCCTCTCCAGCCTCCAATAATTCAGCCTTTTTTAGTAACACACCAGGGTAAAAATACACGGTCTATATAGAGAACACCAGTTTCTCCGTAAGTCCTAAATATGATAGGGAAAGCATTTCTCATGGATGCTCTATCTAGGAATGTGGTATGAAATAAAGTAATTTCTAATCATTTGATTATGAGGGGCTAACAGAGGGATAGCACAGGTTTCACAGGACTCTTCTGCTTTAACCACTAAATATTTAGTCCAAGTTTCTACTGGAGAATAAAATAAGTGTTCATGTCTGTGGTGTTAAAAATCGCAGACTAATCCAAAGGGAAGTAACGGGGCATTCTAGGCCAGTCAAAAATCCCAGATCATTCACAAAGAGAATGCCAGCTATCACCCAGGGGCTGGCTGGAACCGTCCAACCAAACCTTATTCTGAAAACCCATGGAAGTAGATTCATGGCACTGATGGATAAAAGGGTTCCTAAGGACTAAAAAGGGAATGATCTGCAACCAGTTCCATTCGGGTTTGAGAAGAAATCTCTCCTACGCGCGCATTAACTTACAATGTGTTTATATAAAAGGAAAAGAGCAAATTAATCATCTATATAAGATAGAGAACAAATTGGTATTTAGTTATCTTGATCTGAAAATTAAATTAAAAAAGAATACTGACCCTCCACTTCCGAGACGAGATGGTAAGGATGTTGTTCCTTTGAACCCTTCTTGCTGTTTGATTTCTCTGAAGCCTCCATCATAAGTTAGTTGAAAAGGATGGCTCTTCAAATGGCCAATGGTGTTTGAGTCTCTTAAATAAGTCCCACTTATTTCCACCATAGAGTTCCCCATCATGACCATTTCTTTGGATACCACGGTCTTCTTTGCTGCAATAACCAAGGAAATGTTTTGTTAAGCAATCCCCTTTCCAGGAGTCACTACCTTTCAACATTGGGGGGTTTCTTATTGTCATTTGTTTGTTTGTTTTTTTGGTACCAAGGACTGAACTCAGGGGCACTCAACAACTGAGTCGCATCTCCAGCCCTATTTTTGTATTTTATTTAGAGACTGGGTCTCACTGAGTTGCTTAGCACCTCGCCATTGCTGAGGCTGATTTTGATCCTCCTGCCTCAGCATCGCAAACTGCTGGGATTACCGTGTGCCACGGCACCTAGCTCAACACTGTTTTTCAGTTGAAGAATTTATAGAATTTTAAAGTTATACATTATTTGACCAAGTCTAGACTTTTATGGTCAAAGCCTTTCTGAACATACATAAGACTTCACCATGATTTTAGGTTTGACATCAATTCTGCAGGTAAAAATGAATAGGATTTTAACTGTGTTGGCTTAGGGTCTACCTGAAGGTAAACACTACAGTTTAGATTTATGAACTACCTAATCCATTGATGTACTTCCTTTGCCATAAAAATAACTCTTCTTCCTGAATTTGGCTAGTATTTTTTCATTTACAAAATATTTATTGAGTGCTTCCCTGCTATCAAGCACTGCTTTAGACACTTGGGTGCATCAGTGACAAAAACGAGATCCCTGACCTCACAAGGCTTACATCCTAGTAGGTATAAACAGACAATAAGCAATACACCACAATAAGATAAGTAAACACCCTCGACCCTTGCAAAAAAAAAAAAAAAAAGCTAAAGTAGAAAAGTGAAGAAAGGTAAAGGGAAGTGGGGGTGTGGTAGAAGCAGAGAGCACTTTTGTCAGAGGGTTTGGTAGAGTGGGGACAGCAAGACCCTCAGGGCCATCAGAGGAGGAGGCACAGTGTTTCGACAGGGGACCAGCCAGTGTGGATGCCTGAAAGCAGGATCCTGTCTGGGAATGGAGTGTGAGGGCAGAGGAGGAGGGAGCCAGCAGAGGGTGGGGCCTGGGCAGGGCCCAGGAATGGAGGCCCAGCAGAGCGCTGTCATGCCACAGAAAGGGGAGGCAGCCACATGTCCACAGGGCTTCAGAGAGGAATGAGCGGTGCAAGAAGGCGTCCTGACTCTGAAGCGAAACACATATTGTGTTTACGGATGCAGGTGCTTAGACTTCAGACACACTTCCTATCAGCAAACTGACTCTAGGGATTGCTTATTGTCTATGCTGCTAGTAGACTTGAGCCTGTGAGAAAACATTTGTCAAAGAAGAAGAAAAAGCAAGTCTCCCACAGCACAGAGGGAGGTGGCGGTGAAATGAGCTTTGCATAGAAAAAAATAGTGTTTTACAAGTTTTTCCAAAGTAACTCAAGGTTCCTCTTCTGCACCTAATTAGTAACCAGTAAACCAATAAAAATTAATCATAACAAAACCACCTATTCTACCACTCTGACCAAGCTCCCTGATTTCAAAACTCAGAACTTAAAAAGCTTGAAAGGAACCTGAGAAATTGGCCATTCTAACCTCTCTTCTGAGCACTATGCCACTTTAAATAACTTTACTAGTAAATTATAAAGCACACATTCTGTTTTAGATTGCAAGGAATTTTCAGCCTATCATTATGTTTTAGCATTTCTTTCCTTCTTTCATTCACTCCATAGCTGTTTATTAATGCTACTATGTGCTAGGGTTCCATGCACAAGTGAACCTGTGGTGATGGAGAAGTCTCAGGTATCCCATAGCTTCTAGAAGGGTGTGTGTGTGTGGGGGGGGGTGCCCAACTGTTCTTGCAAGTAGAGAAGCTGCACCCTCTATCTTCACAGTCCACCAGGGTGAGCTTGTCAGCTGTTGGTATAATGTGTAGTAGATAGCTGCCCTGGGGCTCACACTGACTCCTGGTGAAGGTCCACCATCAAACTGAGCATGTGTAAGGATACTCAGTGTCTCCCTGGCTAATACTGTATCACATTGTTCTAATTCTCTAACAGACCATGGACAAGCTTAAACAAACAAACAAACAAAAAGTCATCTGCAGCATCACCATGAAGGCAAAGTTCCCTTCACAGACGTTTCTTGCATACCTGCTACACACCACAACCTGTTAGGTTCTTGGGCTACAAATGGAGAAAACTGCTTTTCTTATTGGAGTTGCTCAATATAGTAGAGGAGACAGAGAGGCAGATCTGTAAGGAGATCAATGTAGAACAGTGTGGCACCAGCCAGGTAATGAGGAGGCACAGAGAATGGAGAGGATTTGAGGGGTGGGAAATTGTTCAGGGCAAGATTCTAGAGGTGGTGAAGCTTTAGAAGTATCTGGAAAGATGAGGAAGAGGCAAACAGAAGAAAAAGAAGCAAAAGATTGGAGTCAAAGGCAGTTTCATGTGTGTACAACCCGTACAAGCGGGGAGTAGGGGCACCCTGGCTTAATGCTCTGCTGTTGCCCTCTTGAAATTCTTTATTTTATAAAAAAGAGTCTCCCATTTTCATTTTGCACTGAGCCAAAAAAATTAAACAGTGGGTCCTGCCCAAGGCTTGAAATAGCAGGACAGATGTGGGAAATGTAAGAGGGTGGGGGGGTCTGTGTTTCTGGTGCACTGACTTCTAAAGGGCAGAGTGAGAGGTGAGAGAAGGGCCTAGAACATTAGGTTGGGGCCAGATCACAACAGAGCTGTGCATGCAAAGGAGCTGGGACTTTATCTGCTAGACCAAATTACAATTCCACCAAATCTGGTCCGCCTCTGGTTCTTGTATAACCTATGAACCAAGAATGGTCTTTATAATTTTGAATGGCTAAGCGGGGTATGGGGATGGGGATCAAAGGAAGAATATTTTATGATAGGTGAAAATTATATGAAGTTCAAATTTTAGTGGTTATAAATCAGGCCATGGCTGCTTCCATACTCTAATGGCAGAACAGAATAGGTTGTGCAGAGACCACATGGACAACAGGGTTGAAGATATTTACTCTCCAGCCCTTGACAGAAAAAGTTTGCTCACTTCTGTGGAAGGCTGGCATTTCCCAAACTGTGTTCCCAAGAGAGAGATTTCAAAGTCAGGCAGGTTTGGGTTGAATTAAAACCAAACAGATGTCTTTGCTGGATGGCTTTTCCTAGTCCATCCAACAGGCAAGGATTAGGTAGCACTTCCCTGACTTATTTGAATACTAGGTTCCTTTTCCAAGGAAAAGCTATAAACATTTTTCTAGAAATGTTCCCTGGAATTCCTGGAACTCAGTTTGGCCAATCCTCCTGGAGGCACAGGGGAGCTCTGAATAGATTTCAGCCTGGGGATGATGCAATCTGATTCCTTTGCTTTCTGACCTCTGTGCTTTATGGAAGACATAGAATGCCATCATTTTCCGTGGGTCATGGGGATAAAAGGATAAGGCTGCTCACAGTCACATCCTGTTGGGAGCTTGGCTTCCCCAGGCTCTGCTGGTAGTTCCAAAGGCTAAGGGTCATTGTGTCCACCCTCCTGCATCTAACTGCAGAACCCTGTGGGCTGAGGGCAGATAAGGGGGAAAGAAAGGGAGGAGGCAAGAGGTGATGAAGTTGGCAGGGCAATGGCAGAAAAGGAGCACGGACTGAGCAGTCTTTAGGAAGTCATGAAGGCTTCATGAAGGAAAGAGGGACAGGTGCTGGTAGGAAGGTGGTGTCTGCACGAAGTCTCTGGCCTGAGTAACTGGGGAAGCATTAGCCACAGCATCAGGTCCTGCCTAAAACCTTCTCTGAACACAAAGCAATTAAACTGATGGCCCTATGGGGATGCCTACCTACACCTTGTCCCCTTTCATTTTCTTAAATTAGGAACTCCAAACCTGCCACCACACCCCAGCCCTGCCTGCCAGATTGTGTCAGCTACAAATGACTTCACACCAGGGAAAGGCCTCACCCTCTATCTCCAGGCACAGTTGGCTCTCTGGCCTGTTACCCAACAAAGCCTAACTTTTCTAAACAATAGAGAGCCTCCAAAATAAAACTTAGGCAGCTCTGATACAAATGACAGGCACTCTGAGGCAGGAGAGCCCAAGTATTTTTTTTTTTTTAATTGATGTATGCTTTTAAAATGACCGTGACTTTTTACTGCCATTATTTCCTGAGTGCTGACACAGGCCGCAGGGATGCAATCCACTGCCAACAGGGTGGATAAAAGAACTGTAACAAAGACTGGCTTCAGAGCATCTGGGAGGTACGGCATCCTGCTGGGAAATGAAGGTGCTGTGGTCACACAAACAAGGGCTGGGCCCTGAGGATGAGGACGGTGCACCAGGCACGCTTTGCATCCCGAAGTCATCTTCACATCAAGGTGAACAGGTCAGCAAGCAGCAGGGGTTTCAAAAGTGAGCAACTGGGAGTTCAATGCATCATAGCAACATTTACGCTCAGAACCAAAAAACCATTTTGCTCACCAGAAGTGACCGGGGGCTCCAGAGCTTGTCCCCTCTCGTCTTGGCAAGCACTACCAGTTCTCTCTGATCTAAATGGTCTGGATGGGACTCCAGTGCTAGAACATTGGGAAATCTCCCCAGGTGACTACAGCTACAGATGAGAACCACTACTGAACTAGAAGCAGAAATTGTGTTGTCGCTGCCTCCCTCAAACCCTGCCCTGGCTTTTCACTGGAATAAAGAATAAAGCCCAGTCTGTTGTCCATGTCCCAAGGCCTGGTGTAGCCCTCTGGTCCCAGTTCCTTTCACCTTTTCTTGTCTAGCTGCCTCCTGCCATGCTAGCCATTGCGACCAGAGATGGTGCCCACCAGGGCCTTGGTACTTGGTTCAACCTGGGCACTTTAACCACAGATATTTCCATGGCTGCTTCCTCCTATCATTCACAGGTCAACTCAGATGTCACCTCCTCTAACAGACCTTACAGAGCCCCCTCAGCTACAGCAAACTATCACCCCTGCCACAGTGCTCCCTATTTAGTCATCTCCTTTATCTTCTTCAACTGTCCTATTTGTTCTCTGGTTACCATCCCTCTCCCCTCCCTAGACTGAAGGCTTTCTGGCGGTGGGACTCTCAGGGCCTAGGATGGTACTGGCACTCAGTAGAGGCCCAATAAATATCAGACTGAGTGAGATGTCAAACTGGGACACTGATGTAGAGAAGCTGCCTGATGGTTCGCTTGGTCATAGCGCCATGGTGTGATGTGCGCGCCTGCACCTCCCTTTGTTTTTCCTTTCTCCTTGATTCTACCTCTTCCTCTATGTCAGGAATCACACAGGCAAATAAGTGAAGCAGACTGGGGCACATGTGAACAGCAGGCCATATTCTAGGCTATAGGATGGGCACTACTCAGCTCCAATCATTTTCCATTGGAATGGGGACCCAGTTTCTCCAGATCTTGATTTTTCATAAGAGGTTATGAATCTGGATTCTTCTATGAGAGTCTTCTACTTTTTATATGTTAGCAACTAAAAAAGAGAAAATGCTTATATGTCTAATAAGTACGAAGCTCAGGTGGAGGATTGTGCCCACCAGGTCCATCTTCAGACTGTCTGTGACTGTACCTGCCGCTCTTCAGCAATCCTTGAGATGCAGGGAGGCCTGGATCTGCCAGCTCCTGGTAGTTTTCCACAGTGAGAGCCAGTTTATAATATGACCCTGAGCACACACTCACCACTGAAGAGAAGCCTCCTGAAGCAATACCTACCCTACTGTAGAGTGCTGCCTTTATTTCTGTTCTACTTCCTTTTTAAAAGTGTGATCTACCACACTGATTATTGTCCTACTAATGGATTCTTCCCTGTAGTTTGGAAAACCCTCAGTGTGCCCTGGAGCGGGGGTGATTTCCTGAGAATGTGAGGTCGTTGCCTCTTTGCTCCAGGTCTAGTTACCTGCCAGCACTTCTGTGACAGGAACAAGAGTCTCATTCAAGTTTTGCTTATATTCACAGGGAATCAGAATGATAATAAAACCTAAGCTTAGTAAACTTTGTGAAATTCTTAAATTTCTCATTAATTTTGAATGAAATTAACAACTTTTTGAACTCTAACTTTAAAATTATTTCTTTTCACTACTGTGAACCATCCATTTGGAAACCCTTATCCTAACATTCTTTTCCTACCAAGTGATATTTTTTAAGAACTGTGATATTTTTAGAAATTCTTTATAAATATCTAGAAAAATGTATGTTTCTTAGCCAGCTTTTGCCCAGTATTCTCAGTTTAAATAAAAATCACCTGGGGGGTCAGGAAAAATTATATAAAAATATTTTTTGTGCACACTTTCAAGAAGCATGCCTGTCCCAGGGTTTAAAGGAGGTTATATAGCCTTACACTCGGCGGGAAAGGATCTGTCCGGCAGAAGAGCCCCCTGGGAGGCTGCCCTGAATAAGCGCGCCCGGGCACTGCTTATTCTTCTAATCTTCACAGGGTCCACGGGGGGTTTAGGAAAGGAAAAGCAAGGATCCTCCTCTGCGCTGGGAGATGCCGGAGCTTTCGGTTTCTGGAAAGAGATTTTTTAAATGATTGGTATGAGTTTCTGTGTCTCAAATAAGGCTCACTACCCTGGAGCTGGCCCCAACCCTTCCAGAAGAAAACCAGGGCTTTCTGCTTGGCTTCATTCATCTTGGCCCCCTAATTCTACTGTCTCATTGGCCCACCTTACTCAACATGAGATGTGTGTGTGTGTGTGTGTGTACATATTAATTAAAATGTGTTAAATATATGATATATTTACATGTATATGTGGGTATATATGTGTATGTGTATGTGTGTGTGCGCGTGTGTGTGTATATAGTGTTTTAACTGTTTTTGTCAATTGTATTAACCATTCTGCTGTACTGCTTAGCATATTCGAAAAAACAAGTTACCCATGCTGGCAAACAGATATTACTTGTATTTAAAATTATGTATAATATATTCAACATGCCTTGCAAAGTTTTGTGTTCAATTTAGCTCAGAAAACACTTATTGGACCCTTTATTTGCCAAGACTTATGTGGTCTATAAATGCTATCTTTACATATCCTGGACAAAAGTATTTTTTAAATAATGCCAAAATTTTAAAATGATTTGGATTAAAAAGTCACAAAACACAAAAGCAGGAAGCCATCTTGGACATAAGATATAAAAATATTTTATTTTTTACATCTCAAGAATTTTGAATGGATGATCCTTTGGAAAGGAACATTACTGACAAATTTCCAATCCCTTAACAACATTTTTGTGTGTGTATGTATGTGGTACTGGGGATTGAACCTAGTGATGTTTTACTCCTAAGCTACATCCCCAACCCTTTTTATATTTTTATTTTGAGACAAGTTCTCACTAAGTTACCCAGGTTAGCCATGAACTTGTGATCCTCCTGCCTCAGACTCCTGAGTAGCTAGGATTACAGGTTTGCAAAACCATGCCTAGCTCCTTAAAAATTTTTTTTTAAAAACCTGCACCAAACTCTGTGACAGCCAGAGCTCCTGCTGGTCTAACCTCCAGATGGCCTCCAGCTCCATGTCAGAGCCTCACAGGAGACTAAGCTTCCAGTTTCAATATTACCAAGTGGTCCTGTCCTTCTTACCTGTAACTTTAGCATAAGTATTTGTCTATGAAAGAGAAGCCATATGGCAGCAAGCGCTTCTAGTGCTCTAACCAGGAATAATTAAGTTAAATTTCCTAAAGTCATTTACATAACATGATATGACTCACTGTCCAATAAGTTAATTAACACATCTTTGAAAAATCCAGTGTGAACATCATGTCAGATAATTTGGAAAAATCATCTACTATGTATGATGCATCCTCTCAAAATACTTGGTTTTCTCAAATGTACTACGAGAACATAGACATAGACATTAGAGTTTTCCCACCAAGAATTTGCTTACTTCAATAATGATGGCATTCTGCAACAATATTTTTTATTTCCTCTTATTTGCATCTGGTTTACAAAGCAGACTCCCAAAATTAGTTTTATGATTTTAGAGATACATTTTAGAGACAGTTAGAAAAAGGTTAATAATATAATCAGCAGAACATAGAAGAAAGAGTAAATCACTTTGGGATCCAACAGAACCGGATTGGAATCCATTTACTGGTTATGTGAACCTGCCATTTGCTTCTTGAACTTGGTCAGCTACAATAAGGAAAGAAGAAACTCATTTTATAAGGATGCTGACATAAATATATTTCCTGTTATGAAAGCTCCATAAATCCTAGCTCCCTTCCCTGTACACAGTGCATATTCCTCATTTATAAAATTTGGTTCCCATTTGTTTGTTTGTTTTGAAGTGCTGGGGACTGAACCCAGTTCCTCACACATACTAGCCAAGTGCTCTACCACTGAACTACATTTCTAATCACCCAAAGTCTCAGTAGATATGGTTAACCTGATTTTTTTTTTTTTTTTTTTTTTGGTGGCAGGGACAGGGCGGGTTCCCAGTTAATTTGAACTCTTCCTAAAAGTCAAGGTTATAGCCTCTGATACAATCTAGCTGGAATTAAATCTCAGATTCTTTTTTTTTTTTTTTCCTTTTGGTACTGGGGATTGAGCCCAGGGGTTACGTCCCCAGTTCTTTTCATTTTTTAGTTTGAGACAAGATCTTGCTTAGGGCTGCGCCAAGTTGCTGAGGCTGACCTTAAACTTGAGATCTTCCTGTCCCAGCCTTCTAAGTCACTGGAATTACAGGTGTGTGCTACCACACTCAGACCGAAGACACAGATGCTTCAGGGGTCTGTTCTGAAGGAGGTAACACTTATTTGTCTGCATAAATTGTGCTATATTTGTTCAATACATAGTTGCTTTACCTTTTAGTCTCCCCAGTTTGTTGCAAAATAATCATAAGAATGTGACTTAGGCCATGAAACTAAATAGTAACAAAAAAGCAAATATAATAGGGGAAAATAAGTGCATTATACATAATTAGGAAAGACAAAATACATAAGGATAACCTCAATACCGAAGGTTGATATGAGGTTTCCTTATCTCAATGTGTCTATTTTCTATAGGTACCTTGAAACTGAAATAAAGATCAAGAAGTTGGCCAAATAATAATGACACAGATCAAATAAATGGCCCCTTTTACAGACCCTCTATCCCTGTTATAAACATTTTGGGTACTAAATACAAGAGCTTATTACAAATGGAAATAATAGTCTGGAAATCTAATTTTTCCCCCAAAGAGAGTAACCAAATTATCTCTGGCAGCAAGATAAAGTGCTATAACTTCTCCTTGATAGAAGGCACCATTTTCCTAGTATAAAATTAGTAATAGTTGTATAATAAAAATTTAGTTCCATTTTCCTCCTGTCCCACCCCTTTTTTCTTATACTGGGGTTTGAACCCAGGGATACTCTCCAAGCTACATCTCCAATTCCTTTTTATTTTGTGATAGGATCTCACCAAGTTGCTGAGGCCGGCCTCAAACTTCCAATCCTCCTGCCTCAGTCTCCCAAGCCACTGTGCGAGGTTACTATCGACCTTTAAAAATTGTTTATCTCATTTAAACACACATCTTACTGGACTGTTTAGAAAATAAAGAACTACAAGTAAAGCATTTTTAATTCTTCAAGAGAAAACTACTACATGAGTCCAGAATTCTTTCTTTCTTTCTTTTGCAGTGGTGGGTATTGAAGCCATGGTCTCACGAACACCAGGCAAACACTACCACTGAGATACATCTTCAGCCTAGCAATTTCTTTCATGCTGGGTTCTGTAAAACATTCTTCCATTTGTGGAGCAAAATGACTTTTATGAAGAAAATCAGTTTTAAAAAAACCTTTTTCTTATAAAATTCAAATAATTTTAGAACGCACAGAATGGTGCACGTTTAAATCTTTGCCTGAGAACCTTACCTCCCTCAGGCTTTGTTTCATGACGCTAACTGGGGACTTGAGCATAATCAAGGACACCGGAGAAGCCCGAGTTTATGATTTGTTCCAGCTGATGAAACTGCAAGAGTTCACTGAAAACAGACTGTTCTCACAGAGCAACCCAGTCCAGGAAGACGCGATTCACACACCGTGTAAGGGATCCAGGTGGCCAAGGCTCACCCGACATTATGGACGTTGGTCATTTTCTGTCCTTGACTCTTCAGAGCCCCACAGAGGGGGCAGGGTCTCTCTTAGCCCTGGAAGGGGGCAGTGACATCCCACATCAGAAAGCTTCTCAAGATATAACAACTTGTAAAGTAACTCACACATGAATACATGCATGTTCTCAAAATCATGCCTGATGCAAGAACTCTTGGAAGGCAGAGAGCAAATATCAAAAATTCTCCCAAGCCCTGGACCTTTGAGACATGGCTGCTCTGAGTGCATTTCTGTTACTACAATTTTATCCACAGGTCCTCCAGACTACTTTGTCACTCACAGTGTGTGACCTGCTGCTGTAATGTTACCATGCACTTCAGATATGAAGAAAAAACTGCTTTGACTTCTCATTCTTCTTTTTCTAACCCTGGATCACCCTGCCCCAAGGTATATATGAGTTCCAAAGTCCCTTTCATTTTAAAACATATTACATTTTGTTTCACATGTCAAATATTAGAAGCTTGGTTCATGTAGAATACTGAAAATGGCTCAAAATTCTCTGTGCTGTTGGAGGTCAGCATAGTAGCTGCCCTAGGGAGGCAGTGGCCAAGAGGTGGGCATTCCTGACCCCACAAAGATCTCTTTGAGATTCTGATGATGTCACTTTTTCTTTTTGAACACTGCTAAGTTTAGTTTGTGCAAATGTATCAAGTTGCACTCTGTGTGATCCGTGTCTTTTCTGTATGGCAATAAAAAATTGCATAAAAATATTTGGGACTATAAATAAATGTGCTTTGTAAGGTTAGGAAACTGAAGGAGAATGCTGTTTTGACAATAATAATGTTAGGAGACAAATTTTCCTATTTATTCACGTTTACATTTCTTTTGACTTATTAAGTTCAAAGTTAAAGAGCAGTTGTTGTTTTTCTTTTTTTGGTACTGGGGGTCAAACCCAGGGGTACTTCACCATGAGCTACATTCCCATCTTTTTTACTTTTTATTTTGAGCAGAGTCTTGCTAAGTTGTTGAGGCTGGCCTCAAATTCACAATCTTTCTTCCTAAGTCTCCCAAGACACTGGAATTACAGGTGTGAACCACTGTGCCTGGCTGAGAGTAATCTGTGTATACAAATTTGAATGCCAGTTAATAGAGTAGCAGAATATAAATAGGAATAACTACCACCTAACTGCCCTATGTCTCAGGACTGTTGTGAGATGGCAGGGAGCAGCTAAGAAAGAAAAAAGATGTACCCCACGTACCTACACAGCAGGTAGATGTAAACATTCACGGAAGGCTACAAATTACAGTGCTTTTCTTCTGTCTTACAAGGTCACAGGTGCCAAAGGGAACCCTGTGAGCCAATCAGGCCAGCAGCCAAGGCCTGAGCAACCAGGAAGCAGGAATACCAGCTTTTCGATGATTCTCAGAAGCCCTGGGCATTCCTGAGTGTGGGCAGCCCAGGGTCTGCTGGAGGAGATGGGAGGATAGGCAGGGGAGCAACAGAAAGAAGGTAAATATCTGGGAACAAAGAGTTTGGGTTGTTTGGTTAATGCAGGAGCTGGAATGGGCTATTTCTGGGTTTCTCTTTCCTGACTAATTGTTGGTTGAGGAATTATTAAAAGGCAAAGTCATCTAAGAAAGTGTCCTAGATCCAAAAAGTGATTGGTTAGGTCTTCACAAACTCTTTCAGCAAATGTGACCTTTAACTATGAGATGCTCCCCTCCCTTCTGCCCTCCTCCTTCTCCTTCTTTCTTTTGTGTCTCTGTCTCTCTCCAGTTGTCTCCTTTTCTCCACTCCTCCTTCCTCCACTCCAATTCCTCCTTATTCCCTGCCTTTGTCAATTCAGTGGGTACCAGAGTCAAAGGGTTCTTTAAAAGTGTAGTGAAAAGGGGGAAGGCAGAAGGGCAGATAGCAGAGGCCATATTCAGAATACTTTCATTGAGAACCTCAGATTTTCATTACTGAAATGAAATATACGGGGCTAGGGATATACCCCAGTGGTAAAGCATTTACCTATCAGGCAAGAGGCCCTAGGTTCAATCCCCCAAACAGAAAAAAAAAATAAATTAAAATGAATAATATACTTAGTTGGGCGCGGTGGCGGTGGTGCACGCCTATAATCCCTCTGGCTCGGGAGGCTGTGACAGGAGGATCAAAACCAGCCTCAGCAACTGTGAGGTGCTAAGCAACTCAGTGAGACTCGTCTCTAAATAAAATACAAAATAGGGCTGGGGATGTGGCTCAGCGGTTGAGTGCCCCTGAGTTCAGTCCCCAGTACCCCTGACACAAAAAAGAAATATACATAAGATCCTTAAGTAATCTACTGAAACAAAAGAATTTCAAACTACAGCAGTTATTTTACTTAACATAGTTGTTTGTTTTTTGTTTTTTGGGTTTTTTTTGTACCAGGGACTGAACCCAGGGTCACTTAACTACTGAGCCACATCCCCAGTCCTTTTTATATTTTATTTAGAGACAGGGTCTTACTAAGTTGCTTGGGGCCTCACTAAGTTGCTGGCTTTGAACTTGTGATCCTCCTGTCTCAGTCTCCTAAGCCACTGGGATTACATGAGTGTGCTACCACACCTGGTGTTAACATAGAATTTTTTAGACTACTTTTTCTTTGAACACAGCACCCAATCATTCTGCAGTAAAGAAATTTGTTTCTGGGCCGGGGATGTGGCTCAAGTGGTAGCGCGCTCGCCTGGCATGCGTGCGGCCCGGGTTCGATCCTCAGCACCACATATAAACAAAGATGTTATGTCCGCTGAAAACTAAAAAATAAATATTAAAATATTCAAAAAAAAAAAAAGAAATTTATTTCTTATGCCAATACTGTCTAACACCTAATCCTGCAATCTAAGAATTACACAGGTTTGACAAGGACCACATGAACTCTAGAAATACAGATGTTTAGGAAAGAGTAGGCCCAAATTGAGTGAGTTCCCCAAATCAACAGTAATATGCCACAGCTTCCTCAAAACCCAAGTGGTTTCCAAGGTTGCAGATGCAAAAAGCCATATATCAACAACAGCTGGCAAATTACTTCTTGCATATTAGTTTATTCTTAATATTTTGGGGATCTTATTTTTATCATTTGCAATATAAGAACAAGTGCAATTTTCCTCAGAGGCATTCTGATAAGTATTTTAAAAATATAAGATCCATTTTGAGACAAGTGGGGTCATTTGACTATACATTACTAAGGATATTACTAAGAAATGCTGATTATCTGAACTGTGATAATACTATTGTGGTTATGCAGGAAACTGTCCTTGTTCATATGAGATGCACACTCATCAATCTTCATAGATGAAGTATCATAATGTCAATAACTCCCAAATAGTTCATCAAAAACAAACACACACACATAAATACATGGTAATATAAGCTGAGAAGCAGCATGGCTAAGACACCATCTCCATGAACATTTAAGAAACTGGTAACAAGAAGTGCCTTTTCTAAAAAAAAAAAAATTCTTAGTTGTACATGGACACAATACCTTTATTTATTGATGTGGTGCTGAGGATCGAACCCAGTGCGCCACACATGTGAGGCAAGCACTCTACCACTGTGCCACAACCCCAAGCCCGAGAAGTACTTTTTTTAAATTTTAATTTTTGTGGTCCTAGGGATAGAGCCAAGGGGTACTTCGCCAATTTACTACATCCCCAGCCCATTTTAGTTTTTATTTTGAGGCAGGGTCTCAATAAATTTCCCAGGCCTGCTTTGAACATGCGATCCTCCTGCCTCAACCTCCTGAGTAGTTGGGATAACAGGTATGCGCCACCACGCCTGGCACAAGTACTTTTGATAGCAGAGGACTAAGGGGAGTGTGGCTAGAATAAGGAGGGCTGGCTGAGATTTTCGGTAACTCTTTCCTCTTTGCAGTTCTATGCAATTAGGCTCCTGAACCCAGGAGAAGATGGGAAGTTTATTCTTCAGAGAGGGTAAAACAGAATATCTCTAATTGGGGGTCAATAAGTAAGGTTACCTTATAATAACTGTCTTTATTGTTGAGTGTCAGGGTAGTTATTATAAACATGACTATTCGTTGAATATTCACATACTGAATGCCAGGTACTCCTGCTTTCTTTCCTCACATGGCTCCTGAAAGCTAGCACCTAGACTTTGTCCCCCAAGAAAGAGCTGGGAAGCACCTCTTCTACAGGAAATCTGAAATCGATAAGGGAAGGCCTAGGATAAGCCATTGGGGGTGCTGGCAACAACTCTGCCAGGCCAGATCCCCTAACTGCAAGTGTGTGGTACAGATCACTGATAGGTTGGCCAACCCCATCCACATGCCAACAAGCAGCATGAGGCATCAAAAGTGTGCTCACAGTATGCAAAAAGAGACCAAAACATAGAAATGCTACAGAGGCTATGCAGGGAGAAGAAAACTGAGTTTAAAAATATGAAAACAATCACTAATATATTCAGATAAGATGCTGCAACCATGAAACAAGAACAGAATACTACACAAAAATACAATTTAGAGGGAAAAGAAAACTTTGAAATATTAAATATAGGATAACAGAAATGAAAAGAACTCAAGAAAGGGATAAGAACCTCAATTCTTCAATAAGTAGTACAACAAAAGAGAAAATAAGAAAATGAAAAGACTGGTCCAACAGATCCTACATCTGAATAAATCCTAGACAGATTTGATCAGTGCATACTATATGCATGTACACTGAATTCCATTAGTATGTACAATAAATATGTTGATAAAAAAACTTTTAAGTGGGAAAGATATAATCAAAACTATTCAAGGATACTTCCCAGAACTAAAGGACATGAAATTTCATGTTAAAAGGGCATTTCAAGTACCAGCATAATAGATGAAAAGAAGCCACCAAAGGGCCATTATGAAATTTCAGAACACTAGAAGCAAAGAGAAAAAATCCTTCGAATTTCAGAGAGGTCAAACAGGAATCAAGGTCTCAATTTATTTCCTGGGCACACTTTCTAAAGAAGCTATAGGAAGAAGGCTTCACTAAAATCGAGTGAATAAAAAAGAGAAAGTCATGGGTCCAGAAACAGGTAAAAGCCCACATAGAGGGAGGAGCTGCCTCCTAGGATAAAAGCGAATGGTGCTTGAAGAAATCTGTGCACAGGGCACTCAGGGAAGTGGCTGGCAAGGACATTTGAAGAGCTCCCTAATGAGGTGCACTGATAGGACACCTCATGTGCCTGATCATACAAAGGCAATTTAGATTTGTGAGGCAGAGTTTGGGGTTGAAACAGTAAAACTGAGAGGCAAGGCATTATTAACATCAGAGAAGACAAGCAGTGGTGCATGCAAGGCAAAGTTGTCATCATTGGTCACCACTAATCTGAGGCCCAGCTATGAACAGGGTTTACACAATCACAATCCAAGAAAACTAACTTTGATTAGAATATAATCGAAGTTATGAGACAGCTGTATCGGGAGCAGCAGTGAGAACAGAAAGCGTGCGACATGCTATGATTGGAGGTAAAGGGACAGACCTGAATTTTCATTGTCCTTAGTGAGAAGTCATTAGCTGATTCCTCAAGCTTCCTGAGTCAGACAGCAACAAGGCAATGTGTGTGTTTAGAAACATGGATATAAATACCAAAAGAATGTGTTACAGGGAGGTCTGGGGAAGGAATAATGAGGAGTAAGAGAATAGGAGACCACTATGTTTTTGCTGCTGCTGTTGTTTTTAGTAACAAATCTTTGTCTCTCTCTGAATATATAAAGAGCATGCATAATTTTTAAACATGAATTTCATATACAATTTTTATTTAAAAACTGTTAAAAAGAACACAATATCTATAACTATTTTTAGGGAAACAAAAATATAAAACATGTTTGCTGAAATTACTATACATTTAAAATGTTCTTCATTATCAAACTATAGATAAATTATAGAAGAGTTTCATTGGGTATTGATCATTATGTTTGGAAAAATATAAAGGAATTTGCTTTCACATTAGATTAGTATACATTTAGGTCTCTGTGATAATTTCCTTAGCACAAGTAAGTGACGATTCCAAGTGTTTTTGGCCAAGTAAGTACTCACCAGTTCTAGTGGACTGAGACGAGTGCCAGATATAAGCCTGGAGTCAGATAACTCAAAACTGGACGCATGGAGGCTAACATAAGAGATGGTGGAGAGTTTTAGTCTATAGATAATTATTGCTTCTATTTTTAGTATTTGTTAGTTAAGTCTAGCTGAAAAACAAGTAAAAGCAGTCAATGCATAAACATGAGAAAAAGACATTTAAAAAATGTCACAGTACTTAAAACATTTTATTAGCAAGTCTTTTGCTACTTTCAGGAGGATTAAGTAACAAAAAGAATAAATGTATGTAGTGATTTTAAAAAAGCTTTGTTCATATCACTTTTTAAAGTTGGTAGGACAATCACTAGGAACCACTCCATTCCAAAGTAACTTCCTGAATCCAAAGTCTACAATTACCTTTAAGATCTTGAACAAAAGTCAAACTTTAAAAAATAACTACTTTGAAAATCAGTTAGCATAACCCAGCATATGCAGAAGCTAAAAGAAGAAAAGTCATATGATCATGTCCATAGATGCAGAAAAGCATGTGACAAAACCTAACCCCACTTAGGATAAAATCTCTCAGTAAAAGTAGGTATAAAAGCAACTTCTTCAACTTGACAAAGAATATCTACCAAAACCTATAGCTAACATCTAACTGATGAAAAACTAGAAGCTTTCCCACTGAGATCAGGAACAAGGCAAAGATGTCCCCTTTCACCACTGTTTTTCAAGATCATACTGGAAGTCCTAGCTAGACAAGAAAAGGAAATGAAAGGCACATGCATAGGGAGTGAAGAAATAAAATTTTGTTTTTGCAGATGACAAGATCATCTATGTAGCAAATCCTAAAGAACTAACAAAAAAACTCCTGGAAAAAATAAGGGATGACAGCTTATTTAATGCACCTAACCTACCAGTATCACAGGTTAGCAACCCACTACACATTCTAGAGTATTCATGTCTACCTGTGGCTGATTGGGAGCTAAGACTCACTGTTGCTGCCCAGCATCACAGTGAGCATCCAACTGCATATGGTTAGCCCAGGAAAAGATCAAAATTCAAAGTCCAGTTGCTATGAATGCATGTCACTTTGCATTATTGTAGAGTGAAAAAAAAAATCTCAGGTAGAACCAACATAAATCAGGGCCTGTGCAATGCAGAAAGATAACATTTTCAACAGATGGTGCTGAGATAATTAGATATCTACACCTACACACACACACACACACACACACATACACTCACACACACACGAAACTAGACACAGACTTTATATCTGTCATGAAAATTAACTCAAATTCAATCATGGACTTAAATATGAGACACAAGACTATACAACTTCTAAAAGATAACAGGATAACAGGAGAATTTCTAGATGACCATGGATAAGATGACTTTTTTTTTTTTTTTTTTTGCAGTACTGGGGATTGAACTCAGGGCCTTACACATGCTAGGCAAATGCTCTACCACTGAGCTACAGCCCCATTCCAAGGTGAGGACTTATATTTATATAACACCAGTGGCATGATCCATGAAAAAAAGAACTACTCTAGTAATATTAAAAATGTCTGCTCTGCAAAAGATAGTCAAGTGAGTAAGAAGACAAGACACAGACTGGTAGAAAATATTTGTGAAAGACATATAGGATGAAAGATTGCTATCCAAAATACTCAAAGAATTATTGAAGCCTAACAGTAAATTAGAACAAGAAATACCACTATAACTCTATTAAAATGGCCAAAATCCATTGACAACACCAAATGCTGGTGAGGGGATATGGAGGAACAGAAACTCTCATTCATTGCTGATAGAAAATCAACATGGTATAGTCACTATGGAAGACAGTTTGGCAGTTTCTCCCAGAATCCAACATATTCTTACCATATGATCCAGCAACTGTGCTCCTTAGTATTTACCCAAAGGAACTGAAAACTTATGTCCACATAAAAACTTGCACCTGGATGTTTATAGCAGCTTTATTTGTAATTGCCAAAACACTGAAGCAACTGAAATGTCCTTCAGTAGATGAATGGTAAACTGAGGTACTTCCAGACAATGGAATATGAGAAAGTATCAAGAAGGAAATTGCTATAATACCATGAAAAGCCATGAAAGAAATTTAAATGCCAATCAGTGAGTGAAAGAAGCCAGTTTGAAGAGGCTTTCTACTGTATGATTCCTATTATATGACATTCTGAAAAAGGCAAAACTATGGGTATAGTAAAACCATCAGTGGTTGGGGGAAGGGAGAGATAAATAAGCAGAGCACAACTAAGGGGAAATGTAATCTGGTGGCCTAAATAGCTGAGTGTACACAAAAATAAAATGTCATATACCTGAAGGAGGAAGGAGGCCTATTTTCTGGTGTTCTTGATGATGCAGGTCCAAATAGCTTCCTTTGGTCTTCCCGAGGTGTAAATGGTCTTTGGGTTCTAACTGTTCTTAATGCATTTCGTGCTTCACTTATGATTTCTGCACTGGTCTTCGGCTTGGATACCAAAGATGGATAAAATGGATCCAGTTTTCCTAACTTTTTATCATTTGAAGACAGCATCTTTTCTTTTAAAATACAATGTTCTTCAGATAGACACCACACCCTGCAAATATACAGTACAATAAACATCAAGTACTTTTATCCAGTACTTTAGAGAAAGCAGTGCTTACTACAAGCCCATCCATATATTAAATCATTCCTGTTTATTAGGTTTGAAAAAAATCACAAACAATTTCCAATTTAAAAATCCAAGCAAGTTGGGCATGGTATGCATGCCTATAATCCAAGTTACTCTGGAAGTTTGAGGCCAGCCTGGAGAATTTAGTGAGACGCTGTCTCAAAATAAAAATTAAAAAGGGCTGGAGATATAGCAGTGGGAGAGCATTTGCCTGGCATGTGCGAGATCCTGGGTTTAATCCACAGGGGGAAAAAAATCCAAGTGGTGTAGAGAGTAAAGACAAGAGACCAGCTCTCAAAAAATATGGGTTCCATATGAGTTTGAGATATAGCTCAATGTATGCCACCTGCCTACTGTTCAGGAGGCCCTGGTTTGGATCCCCAGCAACACACACACATATACACACACACACACACACACACAAAATGCTGTATAGTTGTGCCATCAATGGAAAGATGCAGGGAAGAGACAATCACCTCATGTTCTCCCCCTGCCCATCAATGTGGGGGATCAAACTCAGGCCCTCCCACATGTTAGGCAAGTGCTTTACCACTGAGCTACACACCCAGCTCTCATCTCGCATTTTTCAACCTACAAAAAAACAATGGGGTTCAGTTAAAAATTTTCACTAAAGTCCCCTTTTCATCCAAGTCGCTGTCAACATAAAATGCTAATAAAAGATTAAATATTAAACAGAGCCTTTATGTACTGGGGGCTTAATCCAGGGGTGCTTTACCAATGAACTACATCCCACTCCTTTTATAAAATTTTTATTTTGAGACAGGCTCTTGCTAAGTTGATGAGGCTAGCCTCAAACCAGCAATCCTCCTGCCCCAATCTCCCAAACTGCTGGGATTACAGGCATGCAGCACCATTCCCAGCCTATTGCTTTTGTAACAAATCTGAGAATAGTTTGGTCTCATATTTGTCCATAATATTTTTGAATGAACTGATTCAAATCACCTTCAATTTGAGATAGTTCCCCAGATGAACAAATACCAAATATCTATATCAAATGTTCCTTTCCCAGCTCATATTACTCAGGTAACAAAATGAAGTCACATACAAGGGCCATGAGATTGCAGATCCTTCTCAAATGCTGGGGTGTCTGTCCCATGAAGACTGGTCTGACTTTAAAATAGTACAGACTGTTCAAAATTTAATCCTAATTAGTATATGGTATTAGGTATTTATTTCTTTAAAAAATCTTTAACCCAAAAAAAGAATTTAGCAACCTCTAACCCTATTAAAATGTCACATCTCTACGGCACTTGCCTAGTGCAGCTCTAGAGTGACGGGCCACACTATTTACGTACTGTTCACATAATTTACGTAATTATTCACATATTTCAGCTGCTCAGTTTTAGAATGACTTCTGCAAAAAAGAAAATGTTTTTGTGACATATGCTCAAATAAACTAAAAAGATTCCATTTCTATAATCAGGACAAACAAGTGCTTCTTTAGACAAATGAAGAGTTACTATATTATGACTCTATATGTTAAGTTTTTACATGACAACAGACAACAATAACATTTGTTTAGTTCTACCCACGCCCCACCCCAAGAGTTTCTCAGGAAAAAACTGAGATGAAAACTACAAACAATATATCATTCTTTTCATATGAAAAGGCCAGGTGTTACTTGAAACAGTAAAAAGCTACTGGATAAGCAATACTTTTAAGAATTTTTGATATAGGATTTTGATTTAAGTAAGGTCTATAGAATTATATATGTAGACACAACTACAAAAAACTATGGCAGGCTAGTACATTTTATTTCTAACCTATCTGCCACACTGGCTCATCATTTAAAATATACATAAAACGTTTTAGATATGTCCTTGTACATTTACATATACTATTTTTGAATGCATAATATAAATTCAGCACCACAACATATAATTTAAATGGCCATGACAGGCTTTTTGGTTTGTTTTCACAAGATCTATTGCAGGGTTGGGGGTGTAGCTTAGAGGGAGGGCATGTGCTTAGCATGTCCACGGCCCTGGGTTTAATCCCCAGCAACAAACACAATAACAACAAACCCATTGCAGTAAGATCATACCATATACTAAGAAGTTTCTAAACAACTAAGAGCTTTCTTCCAGAGTCTAAATCAGATTTTCTATTCCTTTGGCCTCACATGGCACTAATAAGTCTAAACTGTCCAAAGGTAATCTGGCAAACCTAATAAAAATTAGAGAAAGCATTTTAGAGAGGAAAAATGTATGAGTCCTGGCCCAAGGCTCTCCCCCACTATCTTTTAGTTTGCATTGAAAAGGACAGTCTTTCATAGAGTAATAAAGCAGGAACATTTACTCAGGTCACATGAAGGATTCTGTAAATTATTTGGGCATACAGGAGTTAGACTGACCAAATGCTGGTGGAAAAATATGAACAATAGACTTGAAAATCTTTTTGTCTGTAAAAGTTTGCCACAAATTCTAGCACTTTATCCCTCTTCTTTCCTCTTCTTCCCAAATCTCACTTTCATTTACAATGATGTAAGATCTGCACAATCTTTCATTATTCTATTATTATAATATTATTATTAGCTCAAATCTGGAAATGTTTACTAATGCAAGTGAACTGGTTAGAAGTGGTGCTTTTTGAGGGGTTGGATTTTTTTTCTTTATGTTGGTTAAGTTACAAATTATTGTAGATGGCTTTTGCCAAGTTGAAAAATAATCACTCAGTTGGAAAGCTTGTCTACTTATATAGTAAAGCATTTTCAAACCATAGCACAATAGTACCACGAAATTTTAACTTTACAAAATTTTCCTGACGATGGAACAGATCCATTCCACTAAGATTAACCAACTGTTTCCCATGTACAAGTTCTTTACCTGGCTCTCTGGGGACGCAGAGAAGAATAAAGCATGGTATTCACTCTCAGCAATGCACTCTAATGCTAATTAAACATTTACTTTAAGGCCACACACTGTGCTAAGTACTCTTGAGCATAGCATCTCAATTAATCCCCATAACAATTCTTTTAGACAGAGTCTTAAGCAATAATAAAAGAAAAGCCATGGCATGAGTCCAGAGGTGATATTCAAACTACTACCCACTAGATGGGGTGGTAGGAGGCGGGGCATTTGGAAACCAAGGGCTACAATGATTTCCCCATCAACATAGACACACCCCAATATTTTTGCAAGAGCTGGTGGGTACAAGCTGAATTTTAGCCCTACTGGTACTCAAATGATTTCAATATATGAAAGAAATTGATTTGGCAATAAAAATAAAGATGAATTACCACATGATTATAAAGAAGGGAGAGATTTCCGATCTTGCAAAAGCATCTGGTAGAGGTAATACTTGAGTTAGGTTCTGAAAAATGGATTGAATTGGAGCAAGTGGCAGGGCTGGCATTGGGGCTGGAGTAGAGAAAGAAGTTCCAGCAAAGTCAATGAGTGAGGTGAGCACATGACGAACATCAAGAATACATGTTCAAGTATGGACAAGAGTGAACTGCAAAAACAATGACTGGAGCTGACCACAGAAAGCACTAAATGGCAGGTAAAAAAAATTTAAAGCTGGGCTGGGGTTGTAGCTCATTTGTAAGAGTGTCCACCTCGCATGAGTGAAGCACTAGGTTCGATCCTCAGCACCTACAGATACCAACAAAATAAAGGTTATATGTTCATTACAATTAAAATATATATTTTTTTAAAAAAAAGAAATTAAAGTTGATGACCAAATAAAATTTTTAAAGAGATAATGAGATCTGGCAAGGATAGGCAGGAAGGAAGGAAAGACTAGAAGTGGTGAAATCAGGCAATTCTTATATAAGTTATATAGACTTAGTTCTTACCTAACTCTACTCTTAGGGGGCACTTCCTCAAGGAACTTTTCATCCTCCTCACCTGAGTTTTCTGTCCCTCATCTCGACTCCACAAGGTCCTCAGCTGCTCTCTGTTGGTTTTTTGTTTGTGCTCCTGGGATGGAACCCAGGGCCTCACATCTGCTAGGCAAGGCCCCACTACTGACTACATTCCCAGCATTTCCAGTATCACAAACTTTTTTTTTTTTTTTTTGGTAGTACCAGGGACTGAACCCAGAGTCTCATGCATGCTAGGCAAGTACTCTGTCATTGAACTACATTCCCAGCCCAGAACTTTTTTTTAAACAAACTATTTCTTACTGCTTTTGGAGAAAGTTAAGAGTCATCATTTATAGAAGTTTACACCTAATTATAAAACTTTCCCTTTAGCTTTGCTAATAGCTACCTGAGTCAGAGCCTCCTTGCTAAATGAAATCAGGGGATCTATAATAGGGGAAAGGTTGGTCATCTGCACACTCTTTTTTCTTTTTTTGTACCGGGGATTGAATCTAAGGGTGCTTAACCACTGAGCCACATCCCCAGCCCTTTTTATATTTTATTTAGAAACAGGATCTGGCTGAGTTGGTTAGGGCCTCGCTAAGTTGCTGAGGCTAGCTTTGAACTTGAATCCTCCTGCCTCAACTTCCCAAGCCGCTGGGATTACAGGCATGCACAACCCCGCCTGTTGATCTGCACACTCTTTTCCCTGCAAATCAAATACTCCAGTCTCTTTTCCTGACTTTAAATTATTTTGGGGTTAATATGAGCATCCAAAGAGGCAACAGTAGAGCTTAGGTGTTGAAATAAGGGCTTAAATCCTCTAAAAATTCAGTGTTATGTGACTTTGGGCAAGGCCTTAAACATCTCTAAGGCTGCTTCCTCTTATGTAAAATATGGATAATAATTGTCTTACAGGATTGTTTTAAGAATTAAATTAAGTGATCTATGTCAAGTACTTTAGCAGGTGCCTGGCCTTTAAAAAACAACAATTTAACAACAATTGTCCCGATGCTAGGTGATAAAGGGATATAGAAAAAAATTCTCCCATAAATGTAAAACTACAAAAGAAATAGAATGACATTTGCTCAGCATTTTCATGTATTTTATAAGCTTTAAATTCTAAATGGAGGTGCTCTCCTTTATGAAAGCAGAGAACTGATATTATTTATTGAATATCAGCTATGCAAAATCAACTAATCAGAATCTTACAGATTCCCAAAATAGGATACAAATAAAGAGTGTAGCTTGCTTTTCTACCAAGTTAAAAAAAAAAAAAAAAGAATTCCTAAGTCTGGGTGGGACGGAAGACCTGCTGATACTCCATTGTAATGGATCATAAAAAGCATGAATTATTTTAATGGATGGTAAATACTGTTACATATACATGTTATCTATTTGTTAAGGCCCTGCCTGCAGCCTAGACTAGCCCAGGTACAATCTGTCTGACCTTAGCTAGGTCACCTGCTTAGACACAGCCCCTCCTTCTTCCACCCTGTCATTGGACAAATATTACTGAGCTTCTATTAAGTACCAGGCAATTGGTAAATGTTCCGTGTATAGAAATAGCTGCACCCGACCCCAGACAGCACGCTCATAGTTCTTCTCCCTCCATCAGAGGAGAGAAAGGCAGACGACTGCAGGAGGAATCCCCATTGAACCGGGGTTGGACGCCTCACCTCCCGCGCAGGCACCAGCTCCCCCATTTCGGGCAATGCCCGCTCCCCCATCGGCCCAAGCCAGGACACACTGCAGCAGCATCCTCATCCCGCCAGCCACCCCCCAGCACCATGGCTCTGCCGGGCGAGCCAATGTCTCCATAGTAACCGTACACAAACCACCTCCCGCCGCCGCGGGGGGCCGCCAGCCTGCAGAGCCAGGCCGCTGCTGGGCGAGCGGAGAGGGCCGGGGAATGAGCTAGGAGGAGGCAGAGGGAAGGTGGCTCTCGGCCTGACCCAAAGCACCTGTGATGAGCGCTGGAGACAGTGAGCCCGGCGGAGTTTAGCGCATCCTTGGCTTTGTACCGCAGCCACCGCCAGGTCGGAGCGGGCAGGTCGGGGCGGAGCGGGGCGGCCCTGGCGCCGCTCAGCCACTGGGCCTGCGCCGGTCCCGCCAACGCATGCGTAGAAATGCCGAGGCTCTGCCGCTGCAGGTGCGGGAGCGAGAGGGCTGGAGCGGAACGGCCCTGTAGGAGCTGGGCTCCCACCTGGAGCGCATCGTGGGGAGGAGACTTCTTTTAAGTTAGCAATTTACTGAACCACATTTATCGAGCCCCTGCCAGATCTCCCCGCCTCTGTTAAATAACTAGGTAGGCAGCTTCGTGTTTAGGGTAAGAGGATTTACTGGTTCCGATTGCGGCTTTATGTGTCCTGGAACCAGCTCCTTAACCTCTCAGTTTCCTCCTCTGATCGGGCTGTTAGACAGATTGGATGAATAAATAGATATAAAGTGGGATGCACACGGCAATTAATGAACATTAAACTTGGCTATCGTCCGGGTTTACAAAGGGTATTCACATATCTCTCTTTTGAGAGTCTTTGAGACTCTTGAGCTGGTAGCCTGGTGACCCCATTCATAGAAGAGGAACTGGGGGCCCCAGGCCTGGCGAGTGGCAGAGTGAGATTTGAGCCTAGGTTCCCCGTGGCGAGTCATTTTTTGCCCCTTTTTGCCCCCTACTGCATCAACACAGTTGAATAGTAAAAAGAACCCCATTTGTTTAAATTCTGTTCTCTCCTATTAGATCATTCAGTAACACTTTACAGTGTTAAGTACAAGTGAGACCATAATCACTTTCCATTCAGGTTTGCACCACATTTTATAAATATAGGGACTTTTCAGCTGAAGTGTTGTTGTCAACATTGGGAAAAATACGCCACATGCCTTAGTGCTAAGTACCTTGTAAAGAATAATTAAATTGAAAACATATTTGAACACATACTACGTGCTTGGTGAGAAATTATTCTAACCTGAACTAAAGGAATGTAAATACTCTTCAAGTGTCCATTAAGATTTCTCACATAACAGACAATAAATATGTCCTTGTTGATTCATTTTAGCACCTGAAACAAAATATTTGTGTTCTTCAAGGTTGAAATCTTTTCTATTGACTCAGCATAAATTATCATATCAAGTCCCATTTACTGCTCACTGGACTTCCTTGTGCAAAGGAAGCTTTACCTGTTTTATATAAAACCATAACTAGTTTTAAACGCACAACTTGTGTGATAAAATGAAATTTTATTTTGGTCTCTCATTATCATTTTAGAATGTATTCTATGCTGTTTATCTTCTGTGCCTGAATAGAAAGTTAGCAGAGACCTTGAATTTTCTGCGCATTCTTAGATTAAGGGCAGTCTGATCTTAAGTTTCAACCTCAGCTTTGTTTCAGATTATGTTGGGTGCAAGACATAAATGTATCAAACTTCAGATGAAATTGTCTTCATGGCCCTATCCCCATCCCAGGCTTAAGGTCTATTGTTGGCCTTCTCGGAACAGATGCAGTTGGCTTTGTTGGCTCCTTCTCTGTTGCCTAGAGGTCCTGTAGGGTGGAAGAGGAAAGAAGTGGAGTGAGGGGAGAAGTAAGAACTTCTCCCTTGGATGACTGAGCTTGCTGTAAGGGCCTATGGTTAAGTTGACTCATAAGGGTCTTGCCTAGGCTTTTTGGAGTTTCTCATGGGGACCCCTGTTCTGAGACTCCTGACTCAGGTGGATGCAGTACTATTCAATTGGTTGTTTTTGACCCTTTTCCTGCACCCAGCAATCCATTGTTCACTTCAGTTTCCTCTGTCCCTTTAGATGAATCCTAAGAGAAACCCACATATCTCTTGCCCCAGGGACTCTGAGCATGCAAGCTTATCTCAAAGCCACCCATGCTCCTTGCTGCTACAGGATAACAGGCCTACCTGGGAAAACCTTCTCACTGGTTTGAAATCAAAGAGGTAGCTCTCCACATTCCTTTCTCCAAAGAAATTTCCTTACACATCACCGCCCTCCACTCTCTGATTTCTTATTTTCAGCCTCAGCCTGGGCAAAGGGTCCCAAATTAAGATGGGGTTGATATGCTTTTCTTGTACCCTGCCCTCTGGACTCTGTCTAGCCTTCACTTGGAACTGATGATTATACATGTACATCTTGGTTGAAACATCAGCTTAAAAACGTGCTATACAGTCAATGACTAGCTATGGCCTTGCAACTGGGATCTTCGTCTAAAACAGACCTCACGAACACACTACTGAAATCTGAAGCTAGCCAGCACAGGCCAGGAGATGACTGCCAGGCAAGTTAGAAAAGAATGACAAGTTGAACAATTAAAAAGAATGACAAAGCAAATTATAGGAAATAATTATTTGAAGCAATAAAGTCATGAATTTTATCTCTCCAAAGGCCACTGTTTGGGAATTTACTTAGGCTGTTACTGCAGTGGTCTGATACACTGAGCTGGCTGTTCCTAACAGAATTTTACATAGATCTGCTTTGTAAACACACTTACTTCAGAGACAAGACTGTCAGCATGTTTCATATACTTAAGATCAAAGAAGACAAAATATTAATTATATGTATCTGACACTTATAAAGTACTTTATACTTTCCAAATTGCTTTCATTTGGAATTTTTTTTTTCTGGTGCTGGGGATCAAACTCAGGGCCTCAGGTAAACACTCTATCATAAGCTACATGTCCAACCTAGAACATTTTATTTCTGTTGTCTTTTTTTAATAGTTTTTTAAAATTTTTAATTTGTTATATATAATAACAGAATGCATTACAATTCATACTACACATATAGAGCACAATTTTTCGTATCTCTGATTGGACACTATTTCTGTTGTCTTATTTGGAGTTTATATAATAAGCCAGAAAAGTTAATTCCAAAGATTATTATCCCATTTTGAGAGTGGAAAATGTGGTGGTTCAGAGAGGTTAAGTGATCTGCCCACAAGCACATAGTTTTTGCTAAAAAGTCTCTGAGACCTGATATTCTTTTTTTTTAATTTCTTTTTTTTTTTTTTTAGTTTTCGGTGGACACAATATTTTAATTTTATTTTTATGTGGTGCGGAGGATCGAACCCAGTGCCCGGCGCATGCCAGGCGAGCTTGCTACCGCTTGAGCCACATCCCCAAGACCTGATATTCTTAATGCCCAAATTCAGTGTACTGTCTTGCCATTGTCCATGAATAAACATAATTTTTCAGGCCAAGGCCTCTCATCTGTCATAATAAGAGGTACTTCCTAGGCTGAGTGGAGTTTCAGGGATCAAGAGGAACTTTCTGTACATTCTTTTGAAAATGTCTTCTGGCTTTTGGGTTTTAAGAAGAGAATTAGATAGGTGGTAGATTGGGTAATAATATGATCTTATACACTATCTGGTGCAAAAAGGCAACGAAATGATAAGCTCGTGACGCTTTTTTATCTGTAGTCTCTCTTGGTAGATTTTGTAGCTTATATTGTTTATATCACACATATCCCACATCTCATATCTATATCTTATCTTGATTTATATGTTAGATGTATTCTTGAAAAGACACAAGTCAAATAAACACCTCATTAATGCTCACAATCTCCCCTTGATTTTTATGGCCATAACAAGAGATGTGACTTACAGGAAAAACTGTTCTGTGGTAGAATAATAAACTCACCAATTTAGAATTCTGATATTCACCTTAAGACATTCTGTTTGTGTCAGTGTGGAATTTCAGCGATTCAGTGATATTTATTACGTAATCCCTGTGAGGAGCTGATCAGATTGATAGCCTATGTGATCTGTGCATAAAATTTTAAAGCACAAGTACATTAAAATGCGACTCGGTGGAAATTAACAATGTAGTGAAAATTAACTAACTTCATGGAGCTAAACATAGGAATGCGGAATTGAACTAAAATTTATCAGCTGAAAAGCTACATGAAAATCATTTACTTAATGTGGCTCAACTAGTACCTGCTCACCTTAAGAAGGACTTTACCTTCAAGCGCCTTCTCCCTACCACATCTTCGCCACCATCGCAGGCCACTGTGCAACACAGAACTCAAGCTGTTGACAAGGATACTAATGAATAAGGTTCCATTTAATTACCAATTGATTATAAAGAGTTCTAACTACTTAGCCTTTCATTGAAGGGGAAGGAGTTCCAGTCTTCAGGGAGTGAGTCAGTAGGACTCTTAACAATGAATCATTTCACACTAAATATCTGCTGCAATACCTGTCCTAGATTAAAAGAGACCAAGAATCAGAAACCTCCTATTTGTCTAGCTCATATATGACGTGTTACTGAACATGCCTGTATCTTTTGAAAGTTTTTAGCTGCAAATTCCACAATATTTCATCAAAAAAAAAAAACCCTTAAATACTAAGGACATTTATTGTTTTAACAATTTTTTTTTTTTTTTTGCCAGATTTCTTAGTTCCACCCATGGCCAGAAAGCCCTGGCTTTTAGCTCCTCAAGTTTCTTCTGTTCCTTTTTCTTTTTGTCTGTTTCTGCTTGAAAGCCTATCTTCCTTTTCCATCTCCTTGGCCTGTTTCTTGAGCTGTTTCAGGGGCTTCTTCTTGCCACCTTCACAACTGGACATGTCACCTCCTGTCCCATCCCCCCATTAGGGGCACATTTTACCCACTGGCCCCAAAACTACCCTATACTCAACCAAAGTGAGTGCCGTAAACCATGGTCTGGAATGCGCTCTGCTCAGGAGCTCTCGATGTCAGCCCATTGACCACCAAATTAAATCTCAGATCCTGCACCATCTGCAGGACAGCCTGCATTTCTATCTTATTGTAATAATATGGATTTTGTTGGGGTTACATGTGATAGACCCTGTGCTAAGTGCTTTGCTTATTTTAAATCAGTGACTCTTCTAACCTTAAACTAATATTATCTCTACTTCACAGGCATGGAGATTGAAGTTTAGTTTCTTTGCTTACTCAGGCCACACAAGTGGTAAAAGCAGGAGATCTAGGATTCAAACTCAGCTTGTTGGAAGCCATGGTCCTATAGACACCATAGACTCAGCCAAACCAGACCACTTCCATCCCTCGAACACTCCTGTATCTTCCTACCCTTGTCCTGTGGCTTTGAATGGTCCCTCTCCCCAGACACTCAGCAAGGGTATCTGCTCAGAAGA